GAAAGCTGAGACCTGGGTTAAATTTGGACAGAAGTAGTTACATGGTGCTGCTGAATGCATTTGAAGGAGCATCCCTTGATCATGACATCAGAAACGTGCACCATTCTTGACTTCTTCCCTTGAGAATGTAGAGCTACACTTGCCACGTGCTCAGGAACAAACACTTGTATCTTACTTGAAAATTGACTGTGAGAGGATTTCCCATCCTGACTCCAGCTCTGCTTTCAGAGGGCACTGCAGAGAGCAGTGAAGTCAGACAAGAGGACAAAGATAGTAACACAGCCTTTCTCTGATTTCTTTTCTCTTTCACAGTGCATCTACTGAAGAGAACCCTGCAGAAATGTGAGAAGAATGGCTGGATGGAGCAAATCTCTGGCAAGGGTTTCAGTGGAACCTTTCAGCTCTGCTTCCCTTATTATCCCAGGTAAAGAGCTTGGCTGTAAAATGATGTTCAAGAGAAGTGTTGCACGGGTCAGGTGGCAGAGCTGAGGTTCCTGAGCCAACCTTCTATTTACAGGGAGGTTGTGGGGGGTTTAGTAACTGATGAACTGCCAAATTGTCACCCTTACTCTGGATAATGACGTGTCTTGGGTGTCTGACTGTGGGTGAGCATAAAGCTGATTTCATTAGCAAGGGAAGCTTTTAAGGGCAGTAAAAATGCTGGGCTCAGTGTTCTCAGGTAGCCTGCCCTGATGCTTTTGTTGCAGGCTGGGGCTATTTAAGTGTTCCAGTGCTAGAACAGACTCACCTGAGCAGGGAGTGTGGTGGGTTCTCAGTGCAAGGCTGCTCCTAAGGAGCAGGAGCCAGCTGTTAGCCTTCCTGAGGGGAGAGGAATGGGAGGGGGGAGCATGGCCTGGGTTAGCTGCTGTGAGCCTAAACCAGCCTTTCTGCTCCTGCTGGGAGCTGATATTGTGCTGGGCCCTGTGGAGCACCGGGATGGACTCTTGGTGTCCCAGGAAGAGCCAAATGGCAGCATAGTCAATAAAGTCTCTACTCCCCCCTTCCTTTATTGCACACACACACAGACCTCACACCTTCAGCCCATTTCAGTCCCTGAAGTCTGATCCTGCCCCTTTGTTGTCTGTCCCCCTGGGTTTGCAGGGAAGGAGAAATGAGGGAGAGAGCCAGAGAAGAGGCAGCTTAGGCCTGGGGCATTCCCAAGCTGTTGTGCTTCTGCCATTGCAGAGACTAAGGAATGTTGGTTTGGGAGAGGAGCAATCACAGAATTCTGGGGGCATTTCTGGATTAGGCTCAAAGCTGTAACCTTAGGGGGAGTCTGCTGTGCCAGATGAGAGCCAGGCTCATCCAAGGCCTGCCAACCCTGGAGTTGCATCCTTAGAAACAAATCACACTCTGACCAGACCCCTCTTGTAGCCCAGATGTGCTCTACCCAGAGAAGCAGCAGGATGAGGACTCTGAGGAATCTGATGAGGAAGAAGAGGAGGAATCTGAGGAGGAAGAAGAATCTGAAGAGGAAGAGTCTGAGGAGGAAGAGCCCCCACCAAAGAAGAGGTATGGCAGCCTGAGAGATGAGTGGGCTCCTTTGGATAAAATAGAAGTGTCTGTCAGAGCTGTAGAGTGCTCAGGTGACTCTTGGTGTGGTCATTTATCCACAGGGCTGTTACTCACAGGTGTTGGAAGAAGTTTCTAATTATTCCTTGCTCCAGAGATACTGATCTCCCCATTCCATAGTTTGAAGCTTTCCTCTTTCTTCCTCCAGATGAGAGAGAGCCTGTGTTTATTCTTCATATTGACTTTAGTCTCCTGCTTTATAAAGTGTGATGTTTTACACGGGACTTTTTGTATTTACTAATTTCCTTAGGAAAACTCTTCCCTACAGTATTATTTGCAGCTCTGTAGCCAGATGAGACCTGCCCTCACTCAGAATGTGGATTTAAGATGAGTGTTGTTCATTAAGTAATGAAATTCCATTTAGAGAGGAGAGAGAGTGCTTAGGGCTCTTAATTGTTCTGACAGCTCACTGATTCACTGTCATTATTTATTTGTTTATTTGCCTAAGGAAGGGGCTGGAAGCCTCTCTGGCAGAGCTCTGTGGGGATGGGAAGAGCTCAGCGTGGTGAGAGCTACCGGAGGAGCTCTTGTTCTTTGGGATGTAGCTCATGGAATGTGCTGTTGCGGGAGGAGCAGCCGTGGCAAAGAACAGGGATGCCAATCCCCGTTAATGCAAATTGCTGACAGCAGCTCTGCTCCTGGTACCCTCACACTGAGCTCCTGTGCTGTCTCTCTTCCTGACAGGATGCAGAAGAGGCCACCTCCCAAATCCCGGAGCAGGGCCCCTCCGATGAAGCGAAGAGAGTCCAAACCCAAGCCAAGGAAAACCCCCGCAGCCCGCCGGGGGAAAGCAAAGCCCCCTCCCAAGGTTAAAACCCCTGCTAAGAAAGCCAAACCAGCAGCCCCAGCCATCAAGAAACCCTCTGGTGGCAGCTCTTCCAAGAAACCAGCAGCCAGCGGGAGGAAGGAAGTGAAACCCTCTGCTAAGGGCAAATCCACCATGAGGAAATCTCTCCGGGCAAAAAAGTAAAATGTTTCCAGTGTCAGGGAACCCCATGGTCAAATCCACAATCTTGTTTTATAAGTCAACGTGCATTTGTATTTTAGTTCTGATGCTTAAACACTTCTTTAATTTTTTTTTTATTTTTTTTTTCTTGAATGATGGGGGAAAAGCTGAAAACTAAATCAAACCGCCCCGAGCGTTCGGTAGATCTCGATGCTGTGCCTCGTGCCTGCCCCTCCCCTGGAACGAGTCATCTTTAGTTTCTGCAATAATTTTAGGACTTTTCTAGGACGTCTCTAATCTGTACATTTACGGTGTTCCGCGGGGGTTCCGGGGGGAGGGTTGGCTTTTAAAACAATTCTTCAAAGAAGATCTTTATATCTTTAGACAGCAGGAACAGGATGACTGAGGGAATGTGATTCTTTAATGAGAAGGTGCCGCGGCAGAAGAGTCCTCCCTAGATCCCTGCATGCCGAGGGCCTTGGCGCTTCCGTGGGGGAGCCGTGTACATACAGCACTTGCACTGAGCCCCGAGGTGCTGCTTTCCTCAGAGCCACGGGCTGAGGGGGTGGCACATCCAGCTCCTCCCGACCAGCCAGGGCTGTGTGACGAGGGTGAGTCGCATCTTCAGCCTCTCCTGAGGGTCTGGTGCCAGAGGGGCTCCAAAAGGGGCAGTTCTCGATCAGGCGGGTGATTTGAATTAGTGTTTCCACACCACATCTGTTACCTTGAAACCAAAATATATCAAAGTCTTCTTGAATCCAACTTTCAGATGTTTTTAAGAGATGAAAAAGCCTGAGTTTGTCCCCTCTTGTTTACCCTTTTTTAAAGAGAAGTTGGAGAGCTATACAATTGCTAATGTAGAGATGTTGATAAGTGAAGAACATGCGGTTTGCTAAAATAAAATGAAACTAGATTCCAGGCCTGCTTCCTGTGTCCTTTCTTGCCACAGCTTCTCCTCCTGGAAAGGCAGAGAGGAGGGAATACAGTCACCACGGATTGCTGCAGATGCAGATCTTTGTTAAAAGCACAGTGCCAGCGTGATTTTAGCCTGAGCCCCTGCCAAGCTCTGTAGTTGGACCAACTCCTGACCTCTCTCTTCCCTGGTTTTTCTGGAGACAAAGGTGAGCGAGAAGGAAGCTCTGTTGGAACCTCTTGCTGCTCCTCTTCCCCCTCTGGGATCAGTGGGGACAAAAAAAGCCCAGCTGAAACCTCCTCCCCCTGCCCTGCTCAACACAGCAGCACCTTCAAAGCACATCTTTCCACGTCCCCGGCTCTGCCGTGCCCAGGGCAGCAATTCCAATGGGATCTGACAGTCTCCAACGTGCCCTTGCAAAGAGCTGTGCACGTACCGTGCTGTGAGGAGGGGAATTGCACACACAGAAAGGGAGAAAATAGCCTTATTGAATTTATTCTTTTCAGCTGCTGTCTCAGTGTGCTGCCTCTAACAACGGAGAGTTAAAAAAATTCATATAGAAATAGCCCAAATTGTTCCCAGCCCTGTAAGGAGGGTGCAAACAGCAGGCTAAAAGTCACAGCTGATGGGAAAGAGAGAGTGAAAGCTCCAATCAAAGAATAATCCACAGGGATGTAAAGCAATTAGAGACATTAGTTAATGGCTCGTTCCTGGGGCTACTTGTGCTGAAAGCACGGGGTTTGTTGGCGTTGCAGTGAGTCAAATCTGAGAAACTTCTCTCAGTGTAGGATATTTATGGGGACAAGGAATCCTCACTCAACCACTGGGCATTTTGCCACCTCCCTCTTCCCAGTAACATTCCAACACCAACAACCCCACAGATGTCTTTTTTTAAAAAAACACTGCTCTGGATGACACCTGTTTCTCACACCTGAGCAAGTGCACCTCGAACTTTGAGTGGAGCCAAAACCAGCCGTTGGCTCCCTTGGTCATCACCAGATCCTTTGGCTGTGGTTCGAATTAGGTGATTTCTGCACACTGAGCCAAAGCCAAAAGCCACAGGACTGGTTGTATTTAATCCAAAGGATTGATCCCTGCTTCCCAGGAGCAGTGACCGGGATTGAGTTGGAAACCCTTCATTACCAACAGAGCAAGCGCATCCAGGGAGGTTCGTGCTGCCTCCGCCGCTCGCTCTTCTCCAGTCTCCACTTCCTGGCCAGACTGGGCTCCATTATGTTATTTCTTCAGCCCCATCTGTCCTGTTTTTTCCTTTTTTCCCCCGTTTCTACGCTATCGATTGTTCCGGTGGCTCTGCCAGCGCATCTCACGGTGTCTTGAAGCAGCTGGTGCTGGCTGTGACCCAAGGTTTGGATGCCACTGGTTGGACGCTTTTCCTTGCACCCTTGGGATCACTGGGGCACAAGACAGGGATTTTTGGATGCACCCCAGGGCGTTAGACCCCATCACCTCCCCAGGCTGCTGCTTTCCCATTCCAGAAGCCAAGTGCATCCCTGGGGCTGGAAGCAGCTTCTCCTCAGCTGGCCAGAGGGTGCTGGGGAGGCTCTGGGTTACGTGGGTGCTTTGCAGTGAGGTCGGAGCCATCCCTCTGTATTTTTTTTCCGGCAAAAGCAGGCAGCAGTGGGCAAAACTCCCCAAGGAATGTAGAAATTGGGGTGAAAAGGGTCTGAGCATCGGGGCAGGGGGTGGCGAGCGAGCGAGCGACCACGTGTGTGCGTGTCAGGGTTGGAAATCGCTGCTCCGCCGGGCTGGAGGAGAGGGGGGAAAGGGGGACAGAAAATCAGCCGCAGCCACGTTTTCCAAAAAGCCGGAGCGAGCGTTCCTGCTCGCCGCCGCTTCCAAGAAACGGAGAGACCCGGGGAGGAAAATTGCGGTGATTCATCGCGGGCAGATCGGAGGCAGGAAATGGGAGTTCGCTGCCTGCCCCGTGCCCGGCGTGGGCTCCGTGGGCTCGGGCTCGCCGGGGCCTGGCTGGCGGCGAGGGCCTGACGCCAACGGGTCGAGCATCCCTGCGCCACGGCGGGAGCTGCCGGAGGAGCCGCCGGCTAAGGGAAAACAACCAGCGGAGGCCGGGACCCGCAGCACCGGGGATTTTTCACCTGCGTTTCTGCGGAGCCATCCAAGCGAGAGCTGCCCGTGAGCCGGGATGGGGGCCCGGCGGGATGGGGGTCCCTGGGGATGCTCGGTGTCCGCTGTCACGCACACACTCACGCGCACCCCAAATTTTGGGGTCAGCATCCCTCCCTTGGGGCCCCCCAGGGTGGCCGGTGGGCCGGGGGCTCCATTGAGGAACGAAGCGTGGGAAAAGCGGGGCGGGGCTTGGGGGCTGCCTGTCCGCGGATTGGCTGGGGGAGGGGGGAGACCCCCCAAATTGCGCCGGAATTAGAGGGGCGAACCTGAGCTTGTAACGCGGGTGGCGGCACCGGAGGGACCCCCAGACACCTCATGAGGTGCACCTGGTGCAGCCGGACTCCCCTGTCCCATGTGTTTGCATCCAGGCGGCTGCGTCTCCGTGACACGAGTTGCGCCGGTCTCAGCCCGGCCGAGGACTGCGGAGCACAAACCCCCTTGGGGTGTCTGGAGAGGGGCCGGGTGCATCCCTCGGTGGGTGCTCTGGCCGAAAAAGCACCCCCAAAGCTGCTGCCCCCATGGCTGGTGTTTTGGGGATCACCCCTGAAGGACAGCCACGGGGGTCTCGGAATGCATGGACAGCGGGGACAGGGGCAGGATGGGGTGGGAACCTTAAAAATCTTGCTGCAGTTTGGGATGTGGGGCTGCACGTGCAACTCCCTTGGGGTCCGGACTGTGTGCTCGGGATGCAGGGATCTCTTGGGGTTCTTCTGGGGGGTGGGATGTGGGGACTGCATCCATCACATTTGGGGTTGGGATCTGGGGCTCCTCACGTTGCCCTCGGGGTCAGGACGCAGGGACTGCCTGCATCCTGCTTGGAGTGGGGATATGGGACCCTCGCGTGGAACTCAGGGGCAGGACAGGGGGACATTCACATTGCACTTGGGATCAGGGCACTGGGACTGTGGTGTCGGGGTTGGAACACGGGCACCTTTGTCTTGGGGTCGGGGTCAGGCTGTGGGGAGCCCTGCATGGCACCTGGGGTCACAGAGGGACAGGCCACAGGGGGCTGGGACACGGGGACCCTTGTGTTGGGTCTGGGATGCAGGATCCTCACGTTGGGATTGGGGTCAGGACTTCGGGACCCTTTTGTTTGGGCCGGTGTGGCAGAACCCTTGTGACGGGGACAGGACCTGGGGACATCTGCATTGGCGTCAGGATTTGGGGAGCTCCGTGCAGGGACTGGAAACAGGGACAGTGTGGGCAGGTTGTGTCTGTCCCCTCCCTCCTCGCAGGGACGGTGAGCAGGGATCACATCCAGGCTCCCATGGAGTGCTCCAGCACCATCGCCCTGGGGGGCTCCGGATAATTCACATGTGGCACCGGAGCTGCTTAACTCCATCCTGATCCAGCCTTCACCCCCAAAACCCCACTGCCATGAAGAAGAAGCCGTCCAACGGGCGGGGGCCGGACCCTGCAGCCCCCCAACAGCGAGCCCGGGGTGTCACCAAGCCAGCAGAGGTGACTTACCTACCTACTTACCTACCCATGGGGAGGAGAACACACACCCCAAGATGGGGTTTGGGTGCGGCTACATCCCCGTGATCCCCCAAAACATCGTCTCAGGGTGGGCTGGTTGCCTTGGGGGGCAGCAATTGCAGCATCAGGGGGTTGTTGCTGACACGGGTGGGTTTTGCCCCCCCAGTACGTGGGTTCCTTCGTGGTGGAGGAGCTGGACCTGCAGCAGCAGGGGGGGCGGCTGGAGGAGCAGCTGCGGGCACTGAAGGTGGGCCACCAACCCCTGCTCACCCTCGCTGGGAAATGGGGGGACCCCGAATCATGGGGGGGACCCCCGGGTGCCACAGCCCGGCCCCCCCAGTGCCACATGTCCCCCGGACAGGACTGTCCCAGGAGGAGGTTGGTGGTGCTGAGGTTCAGTTTGCAGGGTTTGAAGGTCTACGGCGCTGATGGGGAGGTAGGGGGCTGGGGAGGGGGGTCAGGGGTGCTGGGGAGGGGGGTCAGGGGGGCTGGGGAGGGGGGTCAGTGATGCTAGGGAGGGTCAGGGGTGATGAGGAGGGCAGTCAT